AGTTTGAAAAGAAAATAATTCAGAATTTAGCTTTTTGAATTTGAAGGCGCGTAATTTCGAAATGAATCTACTACTCTCGAAACGAAACAGGCTTACGAAACTAGAAGAAGAGTGCTTTCAGATGATACGCATAGTTTTTTGAGACAGTGGAATTTTGTTTTGAATCGGCACATTGAAAAAAGGTGCGAAAAACCTGCATTAATTCTGTTACAACCTAATAAAAATATAGACTGAAATTTTGTCTTAAGTTCGCTCAACCCCCATAACTCTCAATAATCTTAACAAAATTCCGCAAAATTGCCACAGTGACCTAATTTACGTTACTGCATTGCTCATGCAAAAAACCAGCTTCCGAAACTCTATAGTTCTTCAAAGGTATCCTTCTAACCTTGCCCCCAGCTAGGGTTAGAAGTTGCATTAAGAATTAACCTCAAGGTAAATGCAGTCCGTTTGATGAACACGGATTTTAAGTGATAACAGTACCTTGAGGTAAAATTTACCTTGAGAATTTAGCTCAAGGTACTTTTGTAAATACGGGTATTTGCTGATAATGAGTGATAAAACTATCTGGAGGTAGAATTTACCTCAAGGTATCAATGATGAAAACGGCCACAGGGGTTGGAACGTGGAAAAATCTTACTGAGATACCTTGCTTAGAGTTCATTTTTGAGCTTTTCAATTGTCATTTGATTAGTTACGAATGGTTGTAATTTCGCTTAGTCTTGATCCATTACAGCCTATTTCGCTATTGCTTGCGATTTGTACTCGCTGAACTCAAGATTTGTTGATATACTTTTGCTTAGCCTCATCTCAATAAGGATTCCAGCCAATTCCAAAGGATCGTTTCTCTGCACTTTTCAAGTACTAGTTCTGACTTTCCCCAGAACAATTGACCTCTCTAGTGCCATTATATTGCGGGAAGGCGCAGGTCTCGATGCTACCATCAGCGCCCTGATTGCCGCGAGGGCGGACTCGGGCGAGAGCGTATCAGCGATGCGGTTGCTCTGTCTTGAGGCATAGCTGATAAATTGATCATCGGCTGACCATCGCGACCGCCCTCGCAGCAATCCGGGAGCCGATGGTAAGTTACTGGCGTCACACAAAATCCATAAAGTAGGTTGTGACCCGAGATCATGTCGCACCCGTAAGGTGTGGACTTTCCCGCAGTTCGTTAACACATTGGGAGTAAGCTTTCTAGGAAACTGCTTAATTGTATTTGTTATCTTCACAAGCTGAATTCCATTTTTGTCTCACTTCTTTGTTGACAGCGTCGTTCCAGTCTATGCCCGTTTCGAAAATTTTGCGCATCAAAAATTTCAGCTTAACTATAGGGCCTGCAGGATCGCGAGAGTTGGACGTGCGTTCGGCCATTGCGTCGCGCACGTTAGATGTGCGTCCGACGACTCAGGTAGGTGCCAGACTTATCTGTTGAACAGGTTCGTTCGGTTCGCCACCTTTGCTGTTGGACAGTGTAGTGATTTGACCTATGAACCGAACGAACCGGCTGAAGCGGATAAGTCTGGCACTTGCCTTAGTGACATCGGACGTGCGGCACAATAGCCGTACGCACGTCCGACAGTCGCGATCCTGCAGGCCCCTATACTAGAGGTGCCGTTACCGCTATGGGGTCGTAGATAGATTTGATTTTTAGCTACATCTCTCTTTGTGAGATTTAGTTTTATAATCGTCCTCACCCCACTAGTCGGTCGTTGGTCGAGTTTGAATTCGAACTGGAGCAGGCCGGTCGCGGCAGAGCGCGGCAGATCGCCCCTCAGCCAACCGCTTGCACATGAGCTTTCCTATTATTTTCTTCGTATTTCTTTGCTATCTCTCGTATTGCGGCAATGTTCTTAATCGCATTTTCAGATTTCGTCCACTAGCTTTTTGAAGCAAACACTTTTTGAGAGAATTTCAGCCCTATCGCAAAAAAATAGTTTAGAGTACACATTCTAACGAAAAACTTGACACAGTTCATCAAATCACATTTGTGTAGATGTAACTTACCGGATATGAAAAATCTCATTCAAAAATCTCCAATCACATCCTTCTTCCCGCTCTACCTGGAAAAAAATGTAAAACACACAGGCACAACTGCACAAAACAATAGTTAGCGGTACGAAATCTAAAAATCTGATTGGAAACATTGCCGCAATACGAGAGATAGCAAAGAAATACGAAGAAAATAATAGAAAGCTCATGTGCAAGTGATGGGCTGAACGGCGATCTGCCGCGCTCTGCCGCGACCGGCCTGCTCCAGTTCGAATTCAAACTCGACCACCGACCGACTAGTGAGGTGATGACGACTATAGTAGAATATTTACTTTTACATCAAATTCGTCTTTTTCGTATAGTAAACAGCTCCAAAAAACTTTACTACTTCTGCAAGATTTCTGTCCTGAACGGGAAAAGTTGTTTACTTGTTTTGACCCAGCATGTTTTTGTTACCCTTCGTCCTTGCTATCGGCTGTCATTAAGATGATGTCTACATAGATACTTTGAGCGATTTTTTATGAACGGTGCGTCCTTTCCACTCAAATAAGCTAATACTGCCGTGTTTGCAATACTGGGCCGTCACACTATGGCAGATGCTCAAACCTGTAGACTACCAGATTGTCTTTAGTCGGTTGCAGTTAATGTCCTTGCCTCAAAGAAAGCGACCAAGGTCTTTATGTTCGCTTGTGAACTCGATTTGCGTAAACGCAGCCTCAACATCACATATTAGGATAAATTTGCTAAATCTGCTGCAAACTAGAATGTAGTGAATTTTGTTGACGAGTGATTCTCCAGTGAAAATGACGTCATTCAGTGACAGTTCACCTCTTTGCTTGGAGGATGCAAAAACAATTTTAAGAGGTTTTGTAACAGTTTTTCCACACTCCCGCATACCTTAAATTAAATATTAGATTGGCTCGAAAGTTCTGGGACATTTTCGAACTAGATCTGCTATTTCTCAAAACCTAATGCATGTACATCCGAGAGAGATACCATTCGATAGAGCAAACCCAAGCTACAAGATGGTACGCAAAAGCTCGCACCAGCTTCAACCCACCGTAAGTTTGCACCCGAAATCTGAGTCGTATTGAAATTCAAAAAATCGTGAAAAATTCTTATCTTTGTATAAACAAATCCTAAGGATCTCCAACTTGCTCACAAAAATTGCACACCACATCAGACACTCATATGCACCGTTCCTGTATTTTTTCCTCATCTGATTTTTCAGTTTTTGTCTGATCTTTTTCTATGCACCTACTTGCGCTTTTCCTCTTCCAGAATTTTTTAGAACGTATTTTGGCATTGTCTCTTACATGGAGGCATTCCGGTGCCCCTAAAAATACCAAAAAAACATTCAAAAACTTTCCTAAATTCTTCTTTTTCCCCCATTAGCTAAACCAACAGAGTATGCCCTACCTGATTACCACACTGTCCGGTCTATCGCTCATCGCCTGAGAGAATGCCAGCTCATTTACAAATGGGAAGAAACGGATTTTCAGCCACAAAGTGGGTGTTTCGCGCACGGATCGTGGATGCAACGGTATCCTTGAATAGGCCTTTTGACTCTGCCCATAAGCCCTGAGCATGAGATCTTTCCAAAGCTTCTGAGATTTTTAAGAGTTAAAATAAAATGTGTAACAGAAATTATCCGACAACCTAATATAAGATGTTCGGCACTATTGGGTTAGATAATCACTTTTTAATGTTTTCATCAACCTTGAAAGAAGAAAAATGACTCTAAAGGAAAGACGGTTGGCCGCAGGGAATTATAGAAAAAAGATGCGAGTTGTACAACTCCTCACTTTTGCTCAATATGTTCATATTGAAGGATGGTGGGAATACTTATTGATAGGTAGACAGCGTGCAATCCAAACTCTGGAGCTCCAAAATCTAAAGCTTTCTTCTAAGCTGCGATCACCTCGCCGGCGGGGATGTTAACGCGTGCGGCCCTTAGAGGGAAGCTCCTAAAAAACATATCCATATGTCGAGATTGGCTTGGCTTCCTTTAGGTTTAGGGCCTTGTAGCTTATTATGTGAGCATGTCCGAGGCCGCCATGAGCACGATTGGTTAGAGGAACTACACCTCAATTGTGACATCTACCCCCCCCCCTCTTCCTTCGCACATGCTAGTGCATACCGCGTTAGGACAAGTACTCCAGGAAAGATGCACCTAATGGAGTCTTCGTCCCTCTACGATCTGACCAAACATATACCAGCGTGCACGCTCTACTTCCGAACGGACATTGTTTCTTTGTCCGATGTTGTTCATTTAAGAAAGCGAACCTCAGATGATAAATACCGGGATTTTACAGTGTTGCGATAGTAGACCCTCCAACTAATCTATTAGTGAAATTTGTAGCGTAAAAGCGCTTTTGGAAAGCCCAAAATCCGCTCCGGAATTCTTACGAACGCCGCCCATTTCCGAATTTGCCCACTTCTTACAAGATGTAATTTGGACCGAACGCAGACATGTGAAGCTTTGGAAAAGCTCATTTTTGCCATTTTCAAGCGCTGAAAAACTCAGATATGGCTTCAGCATGGCGAGAAGGCTCCGGAGAGGTGAGAAACCGGAGAGAAATTTTGCCGGGGCATTGCCTTTAGAGTCTAACAGAATTTTCAGTGATATAGTGTCGCTGCCAGCATCACACATAATAGAGGGAGCGCACAGTAATGCGTTTGTTTTACTGCTTCGCTTCAGTTTTACCCACTTTTAGACGTCGTCTTTCACAGTTTCAAAAAGTGCGCTTAGACTTGAGGCTACTAGTTGCCTTACGCAGTGTATACGCATGCATTTTTTCGACCGCCTGAAGCTAGCAATGCAAGTGAACCATGATACCGTTAATATTTATGGCATGTCAAACTGTTATGACGGTTACTTTGTCAACCCATTCATGACATAAATTGAGTCGAATATCTGACCGAATATTCTCTTTCTTTACTTGGAAGTTTTTGTTGGAAATTTCAGGATTTTTTCAAAACCTTAGCTCTATCAAACAGCAAACACTTACTTGCAAAGATATGCGACACTGTGATGACCACCTTCCAGGAGTGTCGAGACATCAGCAGGTGATAGGCTCAGCGAACTCTTTTTCATCAAAGAGATAAAGCAGCCCTGCACTGCATTGAAGGAGTTCGTTCGAAAAGCAGTTTCTTGGAGTAAAGAAGTGGGTCTTCTGATAGTTACGAGGTAGATTTGTTATTATCCATAATGTAAAATTTTCAGATACCTCGAGCAGTAGTGGCGTGCGGCTGCGAGATACCGGTTGAGATACATAAAATTTGATACAACGACAGACCAGACATACTGCATGTTTATTCCAACAAAATCAAAAATAAATCAGTTCCCGTTCAATCAGTGATCAGTACTAAATAAAGTAATTGGCAACACTCCACCGCTAGAATTACAGAAAAGCGCGGAAAAAAGCTTCGATATCGTACAAAAGGCTAACGCAAGATTCAACCATCACTCTTGCCCAATGAATTGTCCCCACAAATCGGTCAACAACTGGTATACAATGGAAGTTTTTACATGAATTCCAAACAGCAGAAAAAAAGGCAAAAGCAAAATAGTGCTGGAACAACACTGGAAATAAACCTCTTCATCTTAAAATCAAACTTTCTCCTAAATATTTGCTCCGAAACGATGAGAAAATGTAAGGTAGCTGAGACCACCTCCATACACTCCTTCACTAAGTGATTATGATTGAACTGTACTAGCTTGTCAGCTTGGACGTCTGCAAAAAATAAGATTACTTTTTCTAGGGAAATTCTGCTGTTGTAGTGTTCCTGTTTGAAAAAGAAGCCGATTATGCTTGGAACCCAATTGTCGAACGATCTAATTTCCCTAATACGAAAGCTAGTACGTGCCTAAGTCCTAATTCAACGTGATATGATGATAGCGATAAGATGATATGTGTTAATACAACAAAGTTAGGTGAGCCCCCTACGCAAAATCATAGGTGCAATAAAGTGTGGTTCATAATTATACGAACACCCAAGATTTTGTAAGTTTTCGGACTTTTTGGGAGGAACTCAAAAAGCCGTTGATACCACGCGATAGAACACAGCCGAAAACGGTATATGATCCATAAGAATGGAAACTGATGTCAATCTTAGGAGTGCTTTTGCGCCTAATGAGAATTTTTAGTGGTTCATAATTATACGAAACCCAAGATTTTGTAAGTTTTCGGACTTTTTGGGAGGAACTCAAAAAGCCGTTGGTACCACACGATAGAACACAGCCGAAAACGGTATATGATCCATAAGAATGGAAATTGATGTCAATCTTAGGAGTGTTTCTGCGCCTAATGCGAATTTTTAGTTAGCGGTTCGTAATTATACGAACACCTCAAACAAGGGACCATTTTTCATTCAAGATCGCAATCATTTGAGCCCAAATTTTTTGTAGAGTTACAGCAACAAAGCCTGACATATCTGCTACACACTGAACCCAATGCAGTTCAAAAAGAGGACCGCTACTTTTTTCAGAAGATTCTAAATGCTTTGGAGTGATTGCGCTCCAAAAACATCCGTTCTTCTGTGGTTTTAGCTCTATTAGCTTCTACCAAAGCTATGAGATAAAAAAGCTCTTTCGATAGGTACTTTGTTTAACGCTTGGAAAATCTTTGCGTTTCCTTGCCGTTTTTCAACCAAGTTCTAAACTTACCTAGCACGATTTCGAGCCTCAAAACTCAGCTTCTGAAGCAGTACAATGAAGTAGGCATATAGTATGTAGAAGTTCACCAGACCGTATATTTGGCTAGAAAAAACCAGCAGCGTTGAGCGTTTGTTTTGGCCACGCAGACGTCATTTCACCAAAAACACTGTTTTTACTATTGGAATCACACGTTTATTTGGTTTGTAGCTCCATAGCCTCAAGATCAGTTCTACAAAAAACCAAAAAAAAAACGTTGGCACAGAAACACCATCATATGAGGCGACCGCCGGATCTTGCATTGACCGCCGGATCTTGCATTGACCGCCGGATCTTGCATTGACCGCCGGATCTTGCATTGACCGCCGGATCTTGCATTGACCGCCGGATCTTGCATTGACCGCCGGATCTTGCCACATTGACCGCCGGATCTTGCCACATTGACCGCCGGATCTTGCCACATTGACCGCCGGATCTTGCCACCGAACGGCCGTCCTACATCGCCCTGCTGCCGCTCCGTCCTCGGCTGCCACCTACCTCACTCCTCAACCTCCAACTGCCTCCTGCCTACCTCGTTGGCCTTCGTTCTTACTTGTGAGGCCCCTGCTCTCGTCTTAGCTGCTTCCACCCTCCCGCCTCGACTTCCATCTACCACATCAAGCCTTATCGGCACCTTCTTCACCCCTATCGGCTTCTATCTCTGCTTCAAAGGCTTTGTCCTGCCTGAAGCCGACGGATTGAGGCCAAAATCCCGTCTGTACTGCCGAACCTCCAATTCAGCACCTGCGCTGAACTCCCTCTTCAATCGAGCGTGATCGATCGAGACTGTTTGTTGCTCGATTCCCGCCATCATTTCAACTACGTCACCCCCCTTCACCTTCGTGTGCCCGCCACCCCCACGCCTCCTCGTCCCACGTCCTTCTGCTCGAATGGCGCCGAAGAGAAGCAAATCTGATGAGGCCGACGCATGCCCCACGTGGGTCAAGGATATGATTACAAAATGGGAAGCCTATTTAGAAAGGTTTGATCGCATTTTTACGTTGTTGATGAAGATGCAAGAAACCCAGCAATTCCTGTGCTCTGCTGTAAAGGAACTAGACGCGCGCGTCTCCAATTTTGACAAAACTTTAAACGACGCCGTTTATAGCGCTCTTGCGAAATTCAACTCGGATTCTAGGATAGTCAAAGAAAAGGAGTGCAGAATTACCTGGGTCGGGATCGAAGAGAAGGGAACACCGCAAGCGACCGCTGCGTTCGATCGAGAAGCAATAAAAGAAGTAATAGATGCATCTGGGGATGACGAGCTGGTCGCGGAATGGACCAACCGCAGGATCGACGTCCGCCGTTTCCCCGAGGTACGCACAAAGAAGTCTTCGCGCCCCCGTATCATTAAGATCACTACATCGAGCCCGCAGATAAGGGATAATCTTCTTAACCAGATGAAAAGGGAAAGGCTTTCTTTAACCAAACAATTTTTGCACCCTTATGCGCGTAGGGATTACACTTTTGAAGAGCTTGAATTTGACAGAGCCTTGCGAAGAAAGGCCGGACTTCTGAACCGACAAGAAGGGAAACTCCTGTATGTTGTGAGGGATTTGAGGATACACAAACTCAAGAATCCGCGCCCATGGGCAAGTTCTGGTAACTTTCTGAGTGACACTCACCAAGACGCAATCGCGGAAAATCTCAGTGCTTGTAGTTCTCCTTCACGATCAGGTGTTAGCTACTTGCCCAACCATGACCGCCTTCAGCCAACGGAACAGTATCAAGATCAGTCAATGCTCTCGCCCCCTCGCACCGATCATGGGACACGGGATCGCCTGGATCGCTAGGATACGGTGGTGGGTGGCATGCTCCCACGCAATACTTCTACCAAGATCTTCATTGTTAAATTGTCTTTTTTCAAATCGCCTTTTGTTATTTAATGCACGTTCTATCACCAACAAAATCCCCGATCTTGAGCTTCTCCTCAATAATCGTCCTTTTTGTGTTGTTATTACTGAAACTTGGTGTAAGCCTCATATTTTACATGATGCCACCCTCAGTTTTTCAAATAATTACTGTGTTTATCGTTGCGATCGTGAAGGAAAACGTCCTGGGGGTGGGGTAGCTGCACTCTTTGCGTCCTCTCTGAAGCATTCGCTTATAGAAGCAAGAAATTTTACTGAATTCTGTCAATGTCTGGTCACTCAAGTTACATTTGCTAGCTATGATATAAATATCATAGCTGTCTATAGAAGCCCGTCATGTAGTCAAGATGCATTTTGCGAATTACTTGATTTTCTTGGTCAGTTTATGGTTGAGCAACGATGTAAAACTATTGTCTTGGGAGATTTCAACTTCCCACTTATAGACTGGGACAATATGGCCACCAGAGACAATATGTCAACGAATTCAGCCGCCAAATTTCTTGATTTCTGTTTGGCGCAAGCCTCTGCCAGCTTGTAACTACTCCCACCCATGGGCTCAATATTCTTGATCTGGTTCTAGTTGACGACCCAACTGTCGTTGATTGTGTCAGGGTTATGCCGCCGTTTAGTACTTCAGACCATAATATGGTCTCCCTGGAACTTACCACAAATTACTTTGATCTTGAGCCCAAAGGTGATTTCCTTGATTTCCAGAATGCAAATTACACTAAGATAGTGCACGAATTTAGTTCATATAATTGGCACCAGATCTTTGATTGTTGTGCAAGTTCAGACGAATGCTATGGGCAATTCGTTTCTATTTGCCATCTACTTATACGTAAATATGTACCACTTCGCAGAAAGCATGGCACATATGTTAAGATACCTGATAAATTGCTTAGGCTTAGTAAAAGAGTGGCTTATTTTTATCACTGTCGAGCCTCACTGGGTATGCATAAGTACACCTCGTTGGCTCGTAAACTCAAGCGGGAAGTAGCCCGCTGGAGGAGCGCCAGCGAAAGCAGAATTGCTAGTTCGGGAAACTACAGAGAATTTTACAGGTACTGCAATCACAAGCTGAAACTTTCGGATCGTATACCTAATCTCAGGGAAGGGGACAACATCTTACGTGACGACATGCAAAAAGCAAACCTTTTCGCAGATTACTTTGAAAAGGTTTACAAAAGTCATCCCCCTACTTACGTTACACTAGCCCCTAAGACTGATAAAGTACTTGACTGGATCGCCATCACTACCGAAGTGGTTTACAATAAACTTCGCAAATTGCCAAAAAGGAACTCCACCTCTCCAGACGGGATACCATACATTTTTCTAAAAAATGCCGCTCTGGGGCTAGCTTCCCCCCTTACCATATTGTTCAACCGATTCCTCTTGAGAGGTGAGGTTCCGCAAATTTGGAAGCTTGGGCTTGTCAAGCCCATCCACAAAAAGGGTCTCAAAACATCCGTTGGCAACTACCGCCCAATATGTTTGACTTGCTCATTGTGTAAAGTTTTGGAAAGAATACTTTGTGAGGGTATTATCAAATTTTCGAGCCAAAATAAGCTACTTACCAAGGCGCAAAATGGTTTTCTTAGCAAGAGATCAACTATGTCTGCTCTCATGTCTTCGGTCCCGCTTTGGCATAGAGAAGTGGATCGAGGCCGATATGTTCCTGTATGTTTTGTAGACTACAGCAAAGCCTTTGACTCCATCTCTATACCGCTGCTTCTTGTTAAGCTCCGAGCCTATGGCATCCAAGGCTCGTTGTTGAAATTTTTGAACTCCTTTCTCAATGGTAGACAACAATCAGTTACCATTAACACCGTCAATTCACGTGTTTATAACACCACGAGCGGTGTACCTCAAGGGTCGGTCCTTGGCCCCTTGCTGTTTCTCATATACATAAATGACCTTCCTAGCGCTCTCCCAGTGGGCACCTTCTGTTCCATCTATGCTGATGACTCCAAAATTTACACCATAAATGATGCCGCTCTCTTACAAGAAGCCATAAGTGCACTTGCTGCATGGTCGTCAACATGGCAGCTAAATATTTCCAAGGAGAAGACCTCTGTTATGACTTTCGGCAGAAACCACCCTGCAGTCGAGTTCACGCTTGATGGGTCCATCCTACATCGTACACGATCAATTCGTGATTTGGGTGTTGAGTATACTGACAGCTTCGACTTTCATGGGTACATTTCAGAGATTGTCTCAAAGGCTAAATGCCGATCAAATCATATCCTCAAAGCATTCAGCAATCGAGATCCCATATTGCTTTTCAAACTGTTTATTGCTTACGTTAGACCTTTACTCGAATACTGCTCGCCTCTGTGGTCTCCTCAAGATAGAGCACAGATTGAAGCTATAGAGAAAGTCCAGAAGTCTTTTACTTATAGAATTTTCGCCAGAAAAGGCATTTTCGAACTGTCTTATCTCGGCCGAATCCGAAAATTGCATACCCTTACACTGGAAGACAGAAGGGTTCTTGCGGATTTTGCATTCATTTATAAGCTCACCACAAACGAACTTGACCTTAACCTTTTTGACATTTTTGAAGAACCACAGCGAGTAAATTTGACGAGAGACCATCCGTTCAAAATTAAAGTCGATAAAGCCAGGCTTTCTTCCTATAAGCAAAGCTTCATTGGACGGGTGCAGATGCCCTGGAATAGTCTGGACCCCCAGCTTTTGAAATATTCATCTGCGTCATCTTTCTGCTCTCATTTGCTTGAGTACCTTAAATCTCGTAACATGCTGGTATCATCTTAACATTTCTTGCAACCTGTTTACTTGTTTTTTTAAGAGCTGTTTGTTTATTATTCGCATTCGGTAAATCGTTGTGTTGTTTCTTTTGCGTTTGTCTTATGTGTTTACTGAATAAACAATCAATCAATCAATCAATCATGCAAACAATGCAGCTGCTTCATATCGAATGTTTACGCAAGAGAGAAGCTGAGTTTTGAGGCTCGAAATCGTGCCAACTCTAAGGTAAGGTTGGAACTTGATTGAAAAACGGCACGAAAATGCAAAGATTTTTCAAGCGTCAAACAAAATACCTATCGAACTTATTTTATCTCATAGCTTTGGTAGAAGCTAATTAGAGTGCGTGAACCACAGAACGGGTGTTTTTAAAGCGCAATCACTCCAAAAGCATTTAGAGCCTTCTGAAAAAAGTAACGGTCCTCTTTTGAACTGCACTGGGTTCAGGGTGTAGCAGATATGTCAGGTTTTGTTACCGTAACTCTACAAAAAATTTGGGCTCAAATGATTGCAATCTTGAATGAAAAATGGACCTTTGCGTTGTTTCAGACTGCCGCACTGACTGCAGCAGACTGCAGCTGACTGCAGCTGACCGCACTGACTGCAGTAGACCGCACCGACCGCAACGGCCGCAGCATGTTCGCTTAGGAAGGAAGAGCGACTGCGAGCAAAGTGGGCAAGCAAAGGAGAAAGTTCTCCGTTATTTACATTGAAGGAAATACCTTTTAACTTTACATCTTTGGCAATCAGTCAGTAAATCTGATCTTGATATATTCCATATCAATTCAAGAGAAACATAAGTATCATTAAACAAACATGCAGACCTAGATATTCAGTGGAAGTACCGAAAATGAATAAATTTTAGCAATGAGTCACAACTAAAGTAGTCAACACTACTAGTCGCAAGGTGTTAAACAAATTAACGACCAAAGGAAAGGTGAGGCCTGGTTGCCTTTTTTGGTCGCGTTGGCTAATTACTATAGCTAAGATCAGCGCCGGATTCCGACGAATAATGGTTTCCAGCGAGAGCATTACAAAACAGTCATACGCAATAATAGGAGGAATCAGAACAGATACGAACGTAATAAAGAAAAACAACTGCCAAAGTTCGATTGAGAAGAGTGAATTAGAACTTATGATCTTCTAGGCGTAAGTCACGGCGTTTTGACGTAATCACGGTTGCTTTCTCTTTTACGAAAGAATGCAGCGACCGGTGCGGCCACTCGATCAGTGCTGTCAACTGCAGTCCGCTGCAGTCTGCTGCAGTCAGCTGCGGTCAGTGCAGACTGCTGCAGTCAGTGCGGCAGTATGAAACAACCTTTTGTTTGAGGTGTTCGTATGATTATGAACCGCTAAAAATTCGCATTAGGCGAAAAACACTCCTAAGATTGACATCAATTTCCATTCTCATGGATCATATACCGTTTTCGGCTGTGTTCTATCGCGTGGTACCAACGGCTTTTTGAGTTCCTCCCAAAAAGTCCGAAAACTTACAAAATCTTTGGTGTTCGTATAATTATGAACCGCACTTTGGTGTGAAATGAATCTCACCCCCCTCTCATTTTGAAGCCTGAGCTACCCCCTCCCACCCCCCCCCCCCCACTTCACTTCGGACGAACCAAAAAATTTTCCTTTGAGGTAAGATGATAGTGGGCATGAAAGGAGTAGATCTACTGTGAAAGAATCTATTTATAGAGTCCATGGAATGAGAATGCAAGGGACGAATTCCTAGCAAAAAATCACTTATTCTAAAATCGCGACCCCTTCACTGAGACGAAGCAGCTGCTGAGGCTAGAAAATATTAGTTTGAATGAGAGATACGTTTTTAAGAAATCGTATTTTAGGGAATTTATGGAACGAGCAGTACATGAGTCGGCATGGAAGGGCGCGTGGTCATAAAACGAATGACGAGAGTGGAGCTTGACGTGGGCGTATTGAACGAGAGTTGGAAAAAGATATTTGTTGTGTTGTAATGTAGCCGCAAATTTGATAAATTGCCACTGTGTTTTGTTTTTGTGTATATAGTAATCTAAAATGTTGTAATCAGTTGAAGCCGTAGTGAGTGAAGGCATGAAATATTCAGGTAAGCTCCTTCTCCGATTAGTACAATGAAAAGTGATCACAGACACCGAAGCAGTTCGAGTTGCTAGCTATACCCCCCCCCCACCCTCCAAGCCTAAACCCCATATCTCGGTGAGGGGTCCTCTCACAATCTGATTTCTTTTCAGTTTTGTAAAGGAGAGCGTAATACGACCTGGGCTGTCGCAAAATGATCTGCTGAAGCAGATCTTCATGAGCTTCAACATTACACAGAAATCCTTGCGTCTTCAACTCGTTGCTGTTGCTCTCTTTCCCTACAGCAGATTCTTTTGCGACAGCCCTGATTATATCAAGTAAACCTTCATCTACAAGGTGGTGAAAGCAGTAGATCACGAGAAGACCTCCCCGCTGAGATACGGACCGTCAAATAGAACCACCCAAGATCGATTTTTTTCGCTATAACTTTTGTGTAGATGAACGAAAATAAGCAAGGAGCTGGATTTAGAATCTATTCTTCAAGAGCTTTCGAATGATATATATAATATATAATGTGTGGGGGTTCCTTGTTTTTTGCCATGCGACGGTGGTTGAGACGCTCCAGTTATAGCTTCTCAGCCCCGCCCATTCTAATGCATATGGAGGGGGGATAAGACCTGAGATCGCATAACTAGAGCGTCTCAACCTCCGTCACATGGCGAAAAAAACAAGGAACCCCCACATATTATATATCATTCAAAAGCTCTTGAAGAATAGATTCTAAATCCAGCTCCTTGCTTATTTTCGTTCATCTATACAAAAGTTATAGCAAAAAAATCGATTTTGGGTGGTTCTATTTGACGGTCCGTATCTCAACGGGGAGCCCCTCTCGTGATCTATTGTTTTCACCACCTTGTAGAGGAAGGTTCAGCAACGAGTTGAAGACGCAAGGATTTCTGTGAAAGTTGAAGCTCAAGAAGATCTGCTTCACCAGATCATTTTGCGACAGCCCAGGTCGTATTACGCTCTCCTTTACAAAACTGAAAAGAAATCAGATTATGAGAGGACCCCCTCACCGAGATATGGGGTTTAGGCTTGGAAGGTGGGGGGGGGGGGGGTATAGCTAGCAACTCGAACCTGCTTCGGTGCCTGTGATCACTTTATATTGTACTAATGGGAGAAGGAGCTTACCTGGATACTTCAGGCCTTTATTTACTGCGGCTTCAACTGGGCAGAACATTTCAATTTATTGTTTACACAAGAAACAAACACAGTGGCTTTATTTAATTTGCAGCCACATTAGAACAACAACAAATATCTTTTTCCAACTCTCATCCAATACGCCCACGACAAGCCCCACTCTAACCTTTCGTTTCATGACCACGCGCTCTCCATGCCGTCATGTACTTCTCGTTCCATAAATTTTCTAAAATATGATTTCTCAAAAATGTATCTCTCAACTTCAAACTAAGTATTTTCTCGCCTCAGCAGCTGCTAAGTCCAGTGAGGGGGTCCCGATTTTAACTTGAACAATTGGTTTCTAGCTAAGAATTCGTCTCCTGCATTCTCGTTCCATACACCGTATACAAGTATTGAAAACAAAGTACTTGTAAACATTTCACAAATCATAAAAAATCATACAAATTCATTTGAAAGTTTGAGTATTTAAGCTGAATAATTTTATGATTTTTTCTATTTTTTTTATAAATTCCCCCCCCCCCCCGCCGCCCAGCCGAGGCCCGCCCTTTTTGGACACCCTTCACTTTTGGGAGTCAAAAACAGCCGGGACTCCCTTCACTTTAGGGTATCCATCTCAGACCATCGCACCTATGCGCAAAATAGAAGCATACTGAGGTACTGTCCTATCATGTGTAACATCAGTGAGCATAAAGAAGCCCTACCCAGAATGATGAGTACCATTTTCGTAATAAGCATGTCAAATAACCCCTCTGTAGATCTGATGATAGTTAAAGATTAACATAGCAGTGCAAGCTTCAAACAAGAAAGTGACCACATTAACAGGTGATAAGAATAACGTATACAAAGAATGCAGGTTGTATAATGTGTACTGAATCAAAACTGTGTACCAATCAGATTTCACACGCAAAAATGAAAAAAAAAAACAAGGAAATCTTGCTTCCATAGCCAAATATGCAGAAAGAAATATATACTTACGTCGTCAGCCTTTGAACGGCCCTTCTCAAATCACTCTGGTTCACCTGGGGGAGAGCTAATCTAGTAAGAAGCTCCTCAATCAGTTCATTGCAGATACCCGGACAAACCTGAAAATTTCATATTAAGCTGACCCATAGTGACCCTTACCCGCTGCGTTTATGGGACCACTTCTCGTCGACATACTGCTCTGCGAACGCAACTGTAGAAGTTACCTACATCTTCTGCGTGCCGAAAGGCACTTGCAAGAGCATCAAGTTCAGCAGTGGCATGACGAGTGCGGGCCATACCATCCAAAGCGGGTAGTAGACTATATTCCAAAGCACCCTCAAGTACGTTGATGAGAACAGTAGTAAAGAAAAAGATCAGGAAGAGACCGGCCATACTTGCCGACAATGTTGCTACGGTTGGTTGCTGGAGTTACCGCTTGACCCATTGACGACGACGCTTGACGCCTAAATATGCGTGCCGGCGCCATCAGACGACGCTGTAGTGCATAACACTTTCGCCTTGGGAATCTTTTGTGGTTATTTATGAGTTGTGGAACTCTTTTAGCGCAAACATTTTCTTGGCGTCTACAGGTCCTAGTAGACCCGTAAATTGCCCGAGAGATGAGATCGGAAGAAATACTAGATCTGGAAAGGATATGCCTGTGCACGATTTGTGGGCGCCACCGACGGTCCACATCGCCTTTGGCAGCAAAACGTGCGTGGGCCAACTGTGGTCCACATCGTTGTCAATGGGTTTGAAAGCACACAGTCAAAACTAGGCTCCGACAACGACGGCAACGTAAACTAATCTGGAAACAGCTGCCGGCAACATATGGCCGATCCCGAACAGATACAAGTTCGTTCGGAAAAAAGGTTCAATTGTGAAAAATCATAACGAAATTTACAGCAATCCTTCGTCGAGGTGACGGAATCCTTTGATGGGAGGCGAGAGCTACATTGTTGTACCCGTTTCGGCTGCCTGACCCAGAACTTCCCTCATTTGCGCTCTGAAAAGTCTGAGCTCTAGTTTTGTAAGAAGGTGACCATGAGCGAGATTGATTCTTATAGTTAATATTAGGGCCCGGCACGCGTTGGTTTGAAGCATTTATGAAAATGAAGTCCCCATGTATTCGAGAAAATTTGAGAAGTCCCTGTTGACGTAAAAATTATTAGGGAAACCGTTTTTTGATCAACATAACATTAAAAAAGCGAAAAAAGCGCATTTTGAGGTACTACCTGATAAAACAAAAAGCAAAAAAACATTCTGAATTGATTAAAAGCTCTGTCATGAGTATGGTATCATTTTATTGCTCAGAATGTGACCCCTTAGGCAAACCAAATCTGTGGCCTCAACAATCACACCATGCATAGTTTTTCAATGCATAGTTCAAATTCGCCGTATGTGGTTGGAGAGTAATATCTATCAAAGCATAGGTTTACACTACTTTTGGCTCAAAAAAAAAATAGGAGACGCAATGGTTTGATTCGATCTCTTCACTGTATGATAGATCTTTGAGCGTTCTAATCGTCAAAACCAAAAAGTCAAAACCAACTTATGCTCCGAACTAACTCAGTTGGTTTGTGTTGGTCTAGAAACCAACAAATTCGGGAACGGGTATTAGGACAGTATAGTTTGGAGTAATACTGTACACACATACCCCAATTCGGTGACATGTGATCAGGGTCAGGCAAGGGTGTGGCACACGATCGCTGCTTACGACCCCCCCCCCTGATTGCTGTCTTAATAAGACCCCCCCCCCCTGAACTATATACCTAAGATAGCATTACCAGAGTTGAGAAAGAGGTCAGGCACAAGTCATTCGAACCCCCCCCCCCCTCCCATGAAAGCCCTCAAACGACCCCTTCTTCCTCCTCTTAACCTCTGGACCTCAAAGTGTGACATTCTGGAGGAGACCATCTTTTTCTAGAGAGTTTTCAGATTTCTGAGAGCTGTACGCCCGATTTTCTGTGACTGCACTTTACAATCGCACGTAATTCGACGGCCGATTTTGATCTGAATGGGCATATTGAAAGGGCCATAATTTTCTTATGGGTGGGCGTTAGGCTCCAAATTTCCAATGTAGCAAGAAGAAGCTATGTGCTCAATACTCATACCAGCAATGGAGCGCTTTCTGGATTTTGAAGGCAAGTTAATGGGGTGCGGCACACCCCTTTAAAAGCTGCGGCAGCCGCAGCTTTTAAAGGCAGTGTCCAGGCAAATCTGGACCCTTTGATTTTTTGCGTGGAAACTGATGGGGAGCCACTGACTAAACCACTGCCCGAGTTGCAGCGCACGGGATTCACTCATGCCAGAGAAATCGGCGTCCGAATCGGTCGTCCCCGCGCCGTGACCGTAACACTTCAACAGTCTAAACGCACATCACGGTCCCGGCGCGAAACCATGAGGACAGGGTGTAGCGCGGAAACTCGTTGGGAGGGTACGAAATAGCACGGAAAATGAAGATATCTCAAATGTAATCAACGAAAACACCATGAACAACGCGGAAAAGGCAGCCGAGAGAAGCCGCCGCAATAAACATGGAAAACAAGGGCAATTCACGAAAAGCAGAAGAATTAGGAAATTTGCAGTATTTGTGCAACGAGTTTGCGCGCTACATCCTGTCCTCATGGTTTCGCGCCGGGACCGTGATGTGCGTTTAGGCAGTTGAAGTGGTACGGTCACGGCGCGGGGGCGACGGGCTCGGAGGCCGATTTCTCTGCCGTGAGTGAGTCCCGTGCGCTGCAATTCGGGCAGTGGTTTAGTCAGTGGTCCCCCATCAGTTTCCATGCAAAAAACCAAAGGGTCCAGATTTGCCTGGACACTGCCTTTAAGGGGGTGTGCCGCATCCCATTAACTATATCAAAAAAACACTTTTAGCGGACAGTATTTATATGAATCGATAGCCTAAACCTTGTAGATTCCATAGGACTGTTTGGAGCCTGATTTATCTTCTTAGCTCTAAGTAATATTTGGTGAAAGCACAGCGATCAAAAGCGAAAAATGGGAAAAACGAGATTTTCGTTGGCTTCTAATTCCACAGTTTGCAGGTCTTCTGAAGCGGGATTCCTGAGGTGGACAAAGAAGGAGTAGTGCTTTGTCTTGAGTGCAAAAACGGATAGCTAATTCACCTTTGAAACAAAGTTAACCATGTTGTTGGAATTTAACCACTTCACTTAGGTAGCCTAGTATCTTGAATCTTCAGAATTCGCTCACATTTTGTCTATAGGGGTTAATTGACGATTGACATGCTAATTATGGATATGATACAAATACCATGTTATCGCTATTATCAGATTACCCAACTACGACCCCCTCCCCTTTTGACTCCTCAATACTACCCCCCAGGTGTGGCTTGCCGCACCCCACGCTTTACCCTGCATGTGATTGTTTGTGCGCTGGAAACAAGCCATTTGTTTGTTTGAGTTGCGAAAGAAAACGTTTAACTCGTAAAACCTGACCTGTTCGTCATTTTTTTCGACGCTCCACCCAGCTCATAAAAACGATATCCCCTTTGCTTCTAACCTCAAAAACGAAGTCCAGTTTGACCCCGGACCATCTATGCCGGACCCTGGTAAACATCCTCACCTCGTCTTGCGATTTCCTCATACCATTAGTATAATCACGCGTATCGTTGTCGGGGAAGTTAGCAGTATAAGCATCCTTTCCACCCGAACCGGATAACCTTTGTCTATCCTGAGAATGAGGGGGGCGAGCGGCAGATGAAGAAGGAGAACTAGCATGTTGGCTCTGCTGAGGATGAGAAAAATTCTGAAAGATGAATTGAGGGCAATTTGAAAGAAAAACTGAGAATGATTTACTGGACTAGACGGTGGACTGGCCACAGTTATGGTAGTAGGAGCAAATGCACTGACGCGATTACCGCTTCCACCACCAGCGCCAGTACTAGACAGATTCGTACCACGCAGCTGATCCGCCACAGCTAAGACAGTCGCATTGGACTGAAAATTTGTTCGATAAGATAAATCCACATGATAATTAGCAAAACGGCTGACCCTGACTATGGTTCCACCTGGACTGACATCGTCATCACCATTCACAGATACATGAGTTCGTTCAGAAAGAGCAGGCCGAGTTTGCCGCTCACGCTGTCTCACAGTTTCGTCTCTGAGTCCAACATCATTTCGCTCGCTCGCATTACCGCGCACGGTTGGATAATCCCATGAATTTGTTCCTCCTCCTCCATCCGAGTCTTCGTCAAGATCACTGTCGGAAGAGACCCCAGTTCGAGATCTGTTCAAAATCCAAAATAAACATGGCAAGTTTGCAGATTAGTACCTACCGGTACTCCCTAGCTCTCTCAATCAATTCCACCAAAATTCCATTTTTCTTTGCTTTCCTGATAAATGGATGCTTCAAAAGGGCACTTGCAGATGGCCTCTGAACAGGTGCAAGTAGTTGTCAGCAGAACAATATCAGCAATTGCATTGAGATTCCTACATTGTCCGGATCCTTGTTCAAACATAATTCCACGAAATCCTTGAAAGTTCGTGACCACTGTGGTCCGGTCAATTGCGGTGGAGGATTTTTTGGTATCAAAAATAATACTCTCATCGGATGCAAATCGGAATGTGGTGGTTCCCCCTGAGCCAATTCAATGGCTGTTATTCCAAGTGACCAAATGTCCGCCTAAACTACACGAATATTGAGAAGAGTAATGAGCACCCATGCACAGATAATCACAGAGGATAAGCAACAAAGCTTGTAAGCACAGAGGAGTTACTACAATTCACCTTGTAGTCATAACTGGCTTGTTTTATGAGCTCGGGAGCCATCCAAAATGGTGAACCAACAAAAGTGATACGTTTCTTGACTGTCTCCGTCAGTTGCCCAGCAACACCAAAATCAGCCACCTTCACATCACCTTGTTCGCTCACCAAAACATTGGCCGCTAGAATACAGAGGGATAAGAAGGTATGTACACAGAATCCAAATATGTCCTTTCCGCAAGAGATGAAGGGAAGAAGATAAAGTGGGTAGGTTTTTATTTTTCTTTCACAGTGAACGCTCGCGGAAGGTAGGAACGAAAACAATGAAGTTGGGTGCAAGGGTCTATAGAAAAAGGAACGCCATATAGAGGGTAAGAGACATAACGGAAAAACCGCTAATTGCGAATTGAATACACTTAGGACTAGCATGTTGTATTCCTAGTCGCACACGCAAACAATCTAATGTCAACTGCGAAAGAAGAAGGCCACAAAATGGAATCGGTAAAAAGAATCTAATTAGATGGCACTTCCGAATTGTCGAACAGAGGTAAATGGGAGTTCAAACAGTAATTTGGTACCACAGCCTCTATGTACGTTTCATGCTACCACTCTTTCCAAGAGAAAGACACGTTTCTTATTGTTAGAGTGAGAAATCTTTTATGCGGTTGTTTCCTTTAGCGCAAATGGACTAATAACACACACTGTCAAAAAGTTGAAGTTGGCATGTGAAACATTTGGCATCGTTTATGACTTCCAAGCCAAATAGCTAGCAAAACCAATTTAATGCATGCAAAGCGAGATGTCATGTTATAGCGTGCAAGGCATTTAATCATATTATTACGAATGACTCGGTAAAAGTGCTTTGTATAATCCCAGCTAAGATAAAACGTTGCGCTAATTATATTGAAATCTCACAGCATGTATTAATCAAGAAAAACATCCAAGCCAGTACACACCCCTATTTCTTCGTCTTAGTAGGCGCCAGACTAACCGATTGCCTGCTTCAGGTCGCGGCGCAATAGCCATTTGACGTCTCGTTGTGAGGAAATCAAATCGGCATGCGCGACTTCCCCACAACAAAAATTTTTCGTTTCTAAAGCACTTTATCATTCTCTCATTCTGCGAGGCTTTTCTATCATCTCTCCAGATCTACTGCTGCTGCGAGCATCACAGCGTCACTTCGTTTTTTCGGTCCAACATGACGCCAAATGACATTAGCTTATTAGTTGCACAGCGTCCTGCTGAAGGAGGCAATCGGTTAGTCTGGCGCCTACCTTACAGGAAAGCGCAAATTGCAAGATGGGCTTGTATGAATTGTGCGGTAGCAAATCAATTGAACTCAAGGGCAGAGGCGCCAAAACATCGATACACTAGAGGTCAATGGGACGACAATGATCCACCTTGACATCATAATGTCCATCCTGAATAACTTCTGGTGCCATGAAAAATGGTGTGCCAACAAAAGTGTTTGCTTTGAGTCCAGCAACAGTGGACAAAAATCGCGCGACGCCAAAGTCACCGAGTTTCACTGCTCCAGTAGTCTCATCCAACAAGATATTAGCACCTAAAAAGCTCATGGGAGGAAGAGCGGGTAATACTAACAGATAATCACACTATGTTGGAAGTGGCAAATCTCCACCACAACAAACTGCATGCGCCATAAATAATATGTAATTCTTTGAGGAAGAAAGACCCGCTTGGAAATAATTGCCAGTTGCAAAGTAAATGAGGAGTAAAAGACCCACCTTTTATATCACGATGTATTTTCCTCTCGCTGTGAAGATAGTCTAGACCTTTCAGAATCTCTCTCAAAATGACAGCAATATGACTTTCATCCAGCTTCCCACTTTTTGTTAGATCGAGCGCTGATCCGCCGCCAAGATACTCCATAATGATCCATAGCTTCGAACCCTGAAGTAAAAGTGAAGACAAGTAGCAGCGACAAATCATAACTGTTCTTCAAACAAGTGGCATTGCACGGCCTTCTCACTACGAAATCGCATCTTAAATAAAAAGGTGAAAAAATGTATGTATGTGTGTACAAATGCTCCGAATAGAAAATTCCATTTCTGAACCGATCCGGACTAAACTTGGAACATGTACACTTCGGGGCGGGGCGAGTGTCGTAGGCTACTTTTTATTACCGATCGATATCGATTTTTTGCAAAGTTTGAGCTACGGGGCTGATAGTTGGCACACGGGATAAGCGGGCATGCTGATTACGAATAAAATACTAGATTTTTGGGCTTATCGACTATCTTCACCGATTTTATTGAATTTTTGCGAAGTTTGAGCTACGGGGCGAGAAGATGGCTTCAGTGGAGGGGAGGGTAAGTGAGCATGCTGATTTCAAAAACAAAACGGGGATAAGGAATTGTAATGTAAAAGTGGGCAAAAGGAGAGTTTGTACAGGGATAGGATTGAGACCTTTACCATAGTTTCTGACAGGGGCGCGCGGAGCCGAGTATGCCAGCTAGTACAGAAGTAAGAGCAGCACCTGATCCGAAGGCGAATGCACACCAGATGACAGTCACGGAAGTCTCAGCAAAAGGCTATTCCGAAACGAGAGCGTCAATTATGTACGCGAGGCGTGGGCGGTGCACGATCCCCAACGACGACATAAACTCGAAGGCCATACTGACATTCGCTTCGCTATGTGGCATACGCTTCGAAGAAAACTGGCCGCCTTCGTCATGGATAGGTAGGCGCCCGACTGATAAATTACCTGTTTCAGCAGGCCGCGGCGTAACTAGTTAACTTATGTCATCTGGCGTCACTTTGGACGGATATCGAAGTGGCGTCTGCGATGTTTGGACCATCGAAGGCCTGCCGCTTCTTCTCCAAGCCTACCTCGCGCTCATGTCGCACTCGTTCAGGAGAAACAAGGCAACTGTCCGGAGGGAAACTATCGCAGGAAGGTGCGAGACAAATGCGACATAAGCGCGATGTAGGCGCGAAGGGATTATTGCCTCCAAAGGGCGCACCTGGAGAAGAAGTGGTGAGCCTTCAGAGGATCCTACAAGCCCTCCGCAACAACAGTAGTTTTGGAGAGATCATTTAGAAGTCTCGCAGTATGAGAGAATGACAAAATGGCCGATGATTAAAAAGTCTCGCGTATGAGAGAATGAAAAAATGGCCTTATCAGAAAAATGCTTGTTGTAGCGAAGCCGCGCACGCCGACTTAATTACATAGACACCAACGTGACCTCAAATGACACAACCACGCCACGTTCTGCCGAAGCACGACGATCGGCTAGTCTAGCGCCTACCTTAGCTTTTAACAAGCGAAGGCTCGAGATTAACGCAAAACAAGAAGGAGCAACGATGTAAGACTGTTTTCCTTTTAGCTTTCTGAGCGGCTCAATAAGCAACAAAAAGTCACTTTCAGTTTTCCAACATGAAAACTCCTGCATTCCATTACAGCCGCTCCAGACTAAGAAGTAAAAAAAGCTGTCAACAATGTGGTGGGAAAACCATACAAAGGTACATCCATGCCAAACTCAAGCATTCCTGCATTATAAACTAACTACCAGGCCCAAAGCGGTGGAACATCCGCACTCGTCTAAAGTTGAGGTTCAGAGTCAGTTGATCGAATAAAACGTATTACATTGTTGGTTACAGTACAGATATTTGTTGGGCTATACATATTCAGGTATCATGTATAGCCCAACAAGAATCAAACAGCAAGCGATATCGTCTTCAGGGTTACAAAATATAATAAAAGTTGTACATGGCTCCGTAACTACGTTTTTTGTTCACATCCCATCATAAACCAATGGAGCACTTTCGAAACTTTGCTTTCTATACTAGCAAGAAAAGATCTAACTACTCTTTCTTCCACGAAGAAAAAGCGTGCAGACTCGGTAGAGCTGAGAGCTGATAGCGACTTAGTGCCAAGTTAGTATTGTAACAGATCAACGAAAGAGGAAGCGAAATAGTGGAAAACAACTCTTACCTTGAGATAACTTCCATAGTATTTCGTGACGTATGGAGAATCACACTGGCTAAGCACCTAAACAAAGCATATGGTTATGTGATCACAGCTATATCAAGTCACTGCAGATAGATAATCTACGATGCCTACCTGGATTTCTTGCTGAATATCTTCGATTTCATCTTCTGCTTGCTCCAAATCAATGATTTTGATTGCAACGACCTGAGAAAAACTTGTTGTACGCAACATCAGCATATGGAAGCAAATGCTCAGCTTGACTAGATACCAACACACCTGGGAGGTTCTTCGGTCAATCCCCTTATACACTTCACCGAAAGAGCCGCGTCCGATGCGCTCGTGCTTTGTAAAGATTTCCTCGGGATCCAGTTTCTAAAAATTATAACTATGCTACAAACCACCAAAGGCAGTCAGTAGCTGCTGCTACTATTGAAAAAGTTGCTGACACAACGATGTGCTGCATAGCGATTTAACATGATAGAACTCCAACTGATAAGAAGCTATTAAACTATCACTGGATTTAGCGATAGGTCCGGCATACTACACACGATTCCAGTGAAGCGATTTAGCAGCCACTCGGGTTGTCCACAACTTATCGTGAAAGAAAGTTGCACATAATGTGCATTTGCAGGGCGCCAGAGTTGTAAGAAGAATCTGGGAAGCTGCCAGATTGCGCAACGACTGAAATCGCGTGATTCTGCTCAGAACCATAGCTAAGAAAGCAGCTACACTTCGCCAAACAAAGAAGCGCCTGCAATTATAGAATTTATCCAATCAGAAAGACGCACAATCAAATCTACTGAGTCGGCTACGCGGGTGGTCGCGTCGCGCGCGCAGCCTTTATCACTGGGTCACGCTTGCCGTTGTCGTGCTGTGCCACCTTTTTAGATCTCACAATAGATCATCACACATCTCCTGTCAGTAATATCCATTGTGTTGTCGCTAATCGACTGGTTGCAGAACGAAGGTATTTTAGTTTACACTTTGTGGCCTTTGGGTTGTTTCAACTGCCGCACTAACCGCAGCAGACTGCGGCTGACTGCAGGTGACAGCAATGGCCGCTGCGGCCGTAGCATTTTCGCGTAAAAAAAGAAAAATCTATTGAAAAGGAAGAAGTCGGAACTTTTGACCTTCCTGGCGTCATTCAAGGTTCTCGGTCGTGCTTCCCTTTCTACGAGAACATGCTGCTACCGCTGCAGTCAGCTGCAGTCTGCTGCAGTCAGCTGCAGTCTGCTGCAGTCCGTTGCGGTCAGTGCGCTCTGCAGCACTCTGCTGCAGTCAGTGCGGCAGTATGAAACAACCCTTTCTCCTTCGTCGAGACACCAAATGCTGCTGAGATCCCTAATATTATGATCGCCCATCTTCGGAGAATTTGTTGTAAGATTTCCTACCCATGCCGGGGACACAAGTTGGGATGTCATCCCAACTTGTGTCCCCGGCATGGGTAGGAAATCTTACAACAAATTCTCCGAAGATGGGCGATCATAATATTAGGGATCTCAGCATAGGTGCCCTCACAATCGCTTTCGAGCTTCAAGACCATGAGCATACTTTCAGCGACTTCATCGTAGCGATCGTAGCGATCCTGATCGTTGGGACATCAAATGCCACGTCGTCTGATCGCTTCGGGACTAATTTAATTCCGCTCATTCCGGGCATACCTTTTAGGCTTGAGATATATGTGACGATAGAGGTGTAGCGGGTGTCAGCAAATCGCTGATTTCTGCGTCGCCTTTAGCTGCTCGTGGCTGCTGCGCTGGGTACGCTTTGGGTGCAAGAACGAAGTACATAGCTTTACCCATTACTACGCTTAGCTTAGGCCATTAAGGAAAGTAAAACAATTACCAAAATTAGAAAATATGATTATATGATATCTAAAAAAGATGTACTGTTTTCATCAAAAAAATTTCTTCATAACAAGCATAGAATGGCAAACCAAATGTTGCATATACCGAGGAAATTTTAATCATTTGACAAATATCAAATGATGTCACAGTAGAATGATGATGTTTTGAGGCAACATCTAAACTATCTAGGTCATAGCAGCCGTTAATGTGTTGAGGCGTACCAATAATATCCCACTAAATCGTTGAAATCCTCTAGCTTTTCATCGTTACTCCAGTTTGACTATGCATTTGTTCAGATTTCATTCTTTGTCGACTTTGTCATTTCTTTATGGATTTTATCGATGCATTTGCGTTTCGGTCTTGCAAGTTTGTAATAGTTCATTAGTTTCGAAGCAAGTGCTCTAGAAATTCTTGAGGAGTTCAGAAATATATTTAAGGCAGCGTCCAGGCAGATCGGACCCATGGGGATTTTACGTGGAAAATACTATTGGGGCCTTAACTAAGCCACTGCCCAAGCGGCAGCGCAGGTAGTGCTCTAACTGCTGAGACATACCCCTCGAAACTGGACCCCGCGATCTATTCGCATGGACTCATGGCAATTTCGCGCCAGGATACACGCTTTGCGCCATGAATCCCTGCGAAATATGATTGCGGGGTCCAGTTTCGAGGGGAATATCTCAGCCGTTAGAGCACTACCTGCGCTGCCGCTTGGGCAGTGGCTTAGTTAGGGCCCCAAAATTACTATCCACGTGAGAACCCCACGTGTCCAGACTTGCCTGGACGCTGCCTTTAAGAGGAATCCGGGCAAAATCAGCGTTAGCAGCTTGAAGCAGCTGAGAGAAGCTCACCAAAAGTGAGCTTCATATCGCGTAGCAGCGAGGAGCAGTAACGAGCAACAGGAAGCAGCAAGAAGTAGCGCAGCATCGCTAGCTATAGCGGGTATGTTTCACGTTGGCTCAGCAGCTAGGAGCAGCAGCGTCGCCTGGCGTCAATCGATACGTACAAAAGGCGTTGCTGCTGGCAGCGTCTTATCCTCAGCTATAGCCACCCATCTTCAGGTATATCTCAAGCCTTACAAACTCTTAGATCACATATCACGCCCGAATGAACGCAAAAATTACCGAGTTGAATTTGTCTGTCATTTCTCTTTTCACATATTAATCTCACGACGTTAATTAGGCTCTTAGATGCGTCCATCACAGCATCGCCCATTCCACGATTACTACTAGCCTTGGTCTGCATCTCTGACTGCGGCACATATGGCTGTGTAGCAGCATGCAACAACATATTGCTCAAGGATGGCAGACATCACATTGCCGCCAACATGCTATTGCATGCTGGCGACAAGTTGTTGCAAGTTGCCGACACATTGGCCACACGTACCGCAGTCATAGATGCAAACTAAAGGTAACAGCAATCGTAAAGTGAAATAGTATCAGTAAGGTCTCGGATAGAGTTCACGCGATTTGATCGTCACGATTCAATCGCCACAAGACAAGTTCTAGGCTAAGGGCATACCTCACGCGATTTCAGTCGCCACGCGATCTGGCAATTTGCCAGATACCTTCAAATTCAATTCTGGCAGAGCATTGCACAGCATATTTAGTTTTGGTAAGTTGATAAAATGCCCTATATTTCGTACATTCAGAAACCCCTTACGATGAGTTATGCACAATTGGAGTATTGCCAAATCGCGGCGCGACTGAAATCGCATGAGGTATGCCCTTAGCCTTACGAGTTCATTGCATGCCGATCTTCTTGTATTTCGGTTGTGATAGTTAGTCACGATTAGTCGTGTTGGAAAACTATCACAGCCGAAATGCAAGAAGATCGGCATGCATTGATATTATTACAGTTGTCTTGTCGCTCACCACTTTGTACTGGAACGATGATGGAAGCGCAGGACATGTGGTGCTACTCGCATGCTACATTAGTTAACACATTCACGACAAGGCCGATTTTTCGATCACTGCCGTTGCGGATCAAAACCTTTTTTGCTTTGTCAAACTTACGACCCGCCCGTGGGTCGTATTGTCCGAAATGGTAGTCTTTTTCGAAAAAAAAAACTTAGGACGTGTCTCGGAGAATATGCTCAGAGGTGTTACCGAAGGCGCTGTATACAAAACATGGTTTATTTCAGTTTTTGGCACTATACTGTAAGACTATGGTAGTCATTCTGTAGGAAGCCAAATTCATGGATCATGAAATAATTGTTTTTTGGGGTTATTTCACGTGCTCATCACGATTACCGTGTCCACCTTGTTCACTGCTGTCCACACTGAAGCTGCGGTTGCAATACGGTGGATTTTTCGTAAAAATCAAAAACCTAATGTAAGAAAGCGGCAATAGAACTTGAGACCACCATTTTCGTAATCAGCATGCTAGGAAACCTATATATTTAAGATTACAGCTTCCTGGGACGAACAATGCAAAGTCAGTAAAATCAATAACATCGATATTTTTGATGGGCTAACATCAGTCTCTTGCCCGCCCCGTATTTCTCGTGAATGTATACTTAAATGTTCAAACGCAGCATTATTCTGCGGGAATTGAGCTAAAGTTTTGCCTTATCTTTATCTACGCTGTGTCTACCGTAACATTACATTATAGTATCCCGAGCCCGGACTATCTGACTGGTGTTTCGCCTAGGTGTCCCCAATTATGTGCCAGAATCCCGTAAAATTCCATCGTGAATTGGCAAAGCTAGAGATTCGGGAATCTTACGATTCACCGGTCGTATTGTCCGAAATGGCAGACATACGAGCCACCCGTGGGTCGTATTGTTGTGAATGTGTTAACTGAGGAAAAAGACTTGCGAAATTTTTCCGAAGAAAAGAAAGCAACGCGACATATCGCCCGTCGCTGGTGCAGACTCTGTAAGGCCTAAGGCAAGGGACATACCTCACGCGATTTCAGTCGCCACGCGATCTGGCACATTGCCATATGTCTTCAAATTCAATACTGGAAGACCTCAAATGCACAGCATGTATAACTTTCGTAGGTTGATAAAATGCCCCTCTCTTTCGTACAACCAGAAACCCCGTAGGAAGAGTTATGAACATTTGGAGTATTGCCAAATCGCGTGGCGACTGAAATCGCGTGAGGTATGCCCGAGGCCTAAGGCATACTTCGAAATCGCCAAATCCACGCCATTTGGCGATTTGCCAAGTATTTATAGATCAACAATGCGTGGGTTTTAGATGCATGAGCACATAGATTTCATAAGTCATAGCGGATACATCAAGTTTGGCTCAAGCAAAGTACGGTTACGATCAGTTATGAAGAGTCGTTGTAGTACCAGATCGCGCAGCGACTAAAATCGCGCAAGGCATGCCTTAGGCCTAAGGCATACCTCGCGCGATTCCGGTCGCTGCGCAATTTGGCACAACAGCGACTAACTGTTAAATGCGCTGTCTTTAACCAGAACTTGCTCCATTTGCAACAACTTACACAAGTTATCCAAATCATCTGAGAAGGGCGCACGACAAATTTGTAGAAATCTGGCAAATCGCCAAGTCGCGTGAAAGTGGCGATTCGGCCAGATCGCGTGAGGTATGCCTTAGGCCTTAGGCCTAACGCGATTTCTCTCAGTTTCGGCGATGTCGTGGCAATATCGTCACTAGAGGTATGCCCGTCAAAAAAATTGCTCGCGATGGCACGCGATTTGTCGCCCATACAAACTGGCACAATGCGGCGGAAAAGCAGTGGTATCAACGCAGAGTACTGGGTCGGGAACGTACAGGGCTTCTCAACCTGAGAGTCGCAAGTTTCGGTTGCGCGGCTCCTCCAACGCGGGCCGCCTCGCTCAGGCCCGCGCGCGGCGTTTGCTGCGTATCGCCCGGATTTCGCCAAGCTTCAGTCGACGCGCAGCCAGCGCCACGAACGCTGCGCGGACCTAAGCGTGGCGTCCTAGCGGGGCGGGTGGGACACTCAGGTTGTAAAGCCCTGTATGTCCGGTGGATCGCGCAGCGATCGATATCGCGTAAGGTATGCCCCATGCCTAAGATAGACGTAGTTTTAGTTCAGTTCACAGCTATGACCGCGACAGCTTTCGTGGCATGGGCATCTTGAACACTTCGTCTCTGCGATTTGAATATTTTGAAGAAAGTTGATGCGCATATATAAGTGTCACTTCCTCGCTTTTTCAGTAGCAATCTGGCTTAACAGAGGTGGTTCGCGCCTAAAAAAACCTTTGTGGAAAAGCTATTAGGGCGAACGGTAAAAAATGGGGCACTTACGGAACAACTTGAGGTTTCTCAACAAAGAGAAGTGATTGGTATTTCCAATTTTGTAAGGTGTTAGAATATGTCATTCTCTTTCAGATAATACCTATCTGAGGTCATTTACATAATTTATAATTTTTATACTTGCTGAAATGCTAAGAATCAGTTCGACAAATTATGAACTTCGAGCAGCTTCTGCGCAGTGGAACATGTGAGACCATCCAAGCTACCAGTGCTGGATTGGGTGGTGGGATAGTCATCAAACCCACGACGGCCTGATGGCCTGAACTTTTGAAGTCAGGAGATGGCCATTAGCAGCCTTGAGAACAAAAATATGTGCTATTCAATTCTTTGCAGGTAACGCATCTTTTCTAGGTACCATCTGAAAGAGCTTTTTACGTTCTATGCATCCATATACAGCTCATTGCGCCAAAGATAGCTATTTTACAGGTTTTTTCGCTTTTTTCTTTTAAATTTAAGTAAAATCTCATGTGTTTAACAAATCTTCTAAAAACCATGAAGAGCTCTTTTGAATGGTATGTCAATTACTTCATGACTTTACGGTATAGCAGCGCAAGATTGAGAAATGTTCAAAAAACCCTGCTCGAGTTCTTCACGGCGTTACGCGTACGGTTATGAGAGAGGAGCGGTAACGCGCTGCCATAATAATAGGCGGAGGTAGGTTTATGTAAGCGACGTTTGTGTTGCAGCCTGCTTGTTGTTGGTGAAAACAAAAATTTCAAAATCTAATAAAAATCAAGCTGTCCCATTTTTTAACGTTCAGTATAATAATTTGGAAAATCGAATAGCTCTTATGGTAAAGTAGGTAGGAGCTTGACATGCCAAAATTTTGTGCGAGAGCTGGGTACATCAACAGATAACTTTTGTATCGATAAAAAGAAATTGCTTGGATTTCTAGCGCGTCATTATCGTAAACTTTTTCGGCTCTAGCGTAGTGTATGTGTGGAGATGTTCTGCAGAGAGAGAAATGTGATCTCCAGAACAGGGTCAAGCGTGTGGTGTGTCACGCCACACCTGGGGGCAGTATTGAGGGGTTAGGAAGGGGAGGGGTCGTTTTCAAGGTGATTTGAGTTAGCGATAACAGGATATTCGTTAACAATGTCATCATAAAAGTACTAGCACATTGATGTCTTGGCCCACCATCGTATATGTCAGTAAGCATTATAAAAGATCTATAAAAGTATAGAGCATCATTTTCGTAATTAACATGTCAAATAATCCCTGTAGGCCAAGTCAGGTGAGGTGGTCATTTTCGATCATGTTAACTTTGTCAAAGGTGAGTTGTACTTTCTTCTGCACTTGGTACAAAAAACTACCACTCCTTTGCTTAGTTTAGGAATCCTACTTCAAATAGCCTCTAAATTAAAGAATTGAGAGGAAGCCAAGATCTCATTTATTCCAATTTTCGCCTTCAATATCTTGGAAGAAGGCCGATCAGGCTCAAATCATTTTAGTGTAATTCACGAGGCTTTTATAAACTATCGAATATATAGTATTCTTGTCGCCTGTCGAGAAACTCGACCGATATTTTTTAATTCGTATATTCTATCTATCTATTCTATCTTACTTGCAATGTAAGTGTTCAAGCGGAGCAACTAGTCTTTTTTGCATGCTTTGGACTGCAGCTGCGTGTATGAAAAAGGAGCGAGAAATTCGCATTTGGTAAGCTCCTCCTTACGGTGAATCGCGCGTCACTGTTCATCGTTTGCTTCATAGGGAACGGCTATAGGTTCGCAGTGTTCGCGGTGTTCGTGATGTTCGAGGTGTTCGCAGCATACCTTCGATAGTCTAGAGACAGGGCGCCAAAAGTGAAGGTTGTTTGGACATCTGACGTCATAAATAGTGAAGGTTGTTTGAAAAAGATCAGAGATAGAAAATGACGTGAAACAGATATAAAAGGCAAAAGAAACCACTGTAAACCGGATAAAAACGCTGCAATAAGTTTTGAAATCTTTCCTTTGGCGCTTTTTCAGAGTGCAAGTTTTCGCTCCAGGACCAGCAATTCGCAACACGTGGTTTTGATTTTTAATGCGTCCTTTGAAT